AGGTTGTTATATACAGAGAGACCTCAGCGTTATTTCACTGGAGATAACATTATGTGTCTTTCAAAATGCGAAGTCTGTTTTATTTCTGTGAACACAAAACATTTATATTTTGGGCTACAAAAGTTACTTCAATCGTGAATACATACACGTAAACACATACATATAATACGCACGCGCATGCGCGCACATATATATTCGCACTCAATTTTTTTCACTCTCATATACGCGCAAACACACACTCGCGCACATACATTCACTCACACACACACGCACGCACGTACGCACGCACGCACGCACACGCGCTCTCACCTACATATGCGCTCACGTGCAAGAAGAGCAAAGCGAGGAGTTTCTTAAATATCTACTTCACTGTTCATATTTGAATTTACGTATTTATATTTAGATAGTAGCAGTACTGTTCATATCTATAGGCGACGATTACCACTTTCTATCGGGTGAACCGTAAACTTGTTTGCCATTCTAAGTCGCATAACAAAGGAAGATTTTTATTATCAATAAGTAATTTTTCCTCCACAAAGAAAGACAGCCAGCTTCAATTATTGCAAAATTAAAATGAGAACTACACGAATAAACCTTACAGATTGCAAGAAGAATTGTGAAAATCGATTAGCGATGTAATTGCATAAAATAGTAATAAAAACAAATTCAGACGAAATGAGACCCTTCTTTTCAACACACTTCAAAAAGAAGGTGGTATATATATATATATATATATATATATATATATATATATATATATATATATATATATATATATATATATATATATATATATATATATATATATATATATATATATATATATATATATATGTGTGTGTGTGTGTGTGTGTATATATAATAACTCCATTAGTTGTAAATCGATTTTATCTGAAAGAATATACTTACAAAATTAGTCTCATTTCACTTGTTTAGTTCTTAAATAAAATAAAAATCGAAAATAATAATCTTTTTTTTTTGTGTTTGAAATCTTAATTTATTGTAAGTCGCTTAACAAAGTTATACGTGTTGTAAATAAAAAAAAAAACAGTATCGATTTCAATAGATTACATTCAAAGTGTAACATAGGTGATACGAACATAAAAGGAATTGATTTGCTATCTTTACAAATCTAAATTTGTTCATATTCGTTTGAAATAAATTGAGTATTGAGGCTTGATTTCAATTTGTATCCAAATACATTCTCATTATTAATACACAAATAACAAAATTGGACAAGCACAACATCTCATTGATCGATGTTCAATGTAAGGATATATTTAAATATTAACGTAATATTTGAGCAAATTATTATTATTTTTTTGGGCTAACATTGTATTCCTTGTAATGATATGTAAACATTTTGTAAGCAAAAGAAAAAATACTTTCCCGTCATTATTCCCGTCAGTCAAAGAAAAGATTGAGGCTTCGATTGTAATTGGAAACGAGTTTTAAGATACTTTTAAAAGAAGAAGCTTCTCGATTCATTCGTATTTTTAAAAGATTTCAAAAGAGAATGAGGTTCGAAATTCGGTTGTATTCTGTTTATGTTTGTGACCTCACAACACTGAAAGTAATAAGCCGATTTGGATTTTTCTTTTTTATTCGAAATACATAATATACGTTCAGATCAGTTTAACATAAATTATATCAATATTGGTTATGAGTTTAGTATTTAAATCAAAATAACTGGATTTTTTAAAACAAGAAATTGATTTTGTTACGTGAAGTGTTTTTTTTTTTGTGGAACGTAATCATAAACTATTAAAACAGATCGTAGTTGGCGTAAACCACTATTATCATCCATATAAGTGGAAACAGTGATAGTAGCTATCACGATAATATGAAGTTTAACCTGAATTGTTAATAGATTAAAAAACAAAACATTTTTTTCTTTTTTTCTTATACCATTGAGGTGGCAAACAAGCATATGGCTCACCTGATAATAAGCAGTTACTGTAGCTTATGAACACTTGCAATACCAGGGGCATTACGACCGACCCTGAAAACCTCTTTACCCTTTTTTTGAAAAACACCAAATATAGTTAAATTTGATTGACACCAACGCAATTATTTTATTTAAGAGAAGTCTTTGCAACAAAGAGCTCTTATAACTTAATATTTCAATAGCAAAATAACACCGTATAAATCAATAAGGGTAAGTAACAGTAAGGGAAATTATTTGGATGGGTGACCAACACACGTTTGTAGAATTTAATAGCCTTACTTTATTCATAAAAACGTCATAGCTTTCATAAACTTATTTTAGCTGTTGAACTGTTTTGTCTTTTTCTTTTGTACTTAATTCCTAATTTGGATGAAAGGAATGAAATAGTTTAATAGATACAATAGGTTTATAGAAGGTTTTAGTTATTATGAATCCTTATTTATGAAAACTAAAACTTTACAGTATTAATATTATTAATTCACTTTTGCGCCACCTACTCACTTCTATATGTTCTTCTTTAACCAAAGGCTGTCTGTAAGAGATTGCTCTAGCAATAAGACTGCCTTTTTTACCTTTATATGTATACTTTAACCTATACTCCATGCTACTGTATTTCAATTGAACTGTTAATATGACATTGTATGTTTTTATGTTTTTGGTGCAATAAAGAGTTAAATAAAAATTAATAAAATAATATTTTGATTTGTCAATGGCTGGAAGTGACTTAGGACCAATCCTTATGGCAGTCTATGGGGATATCTCTTTTTTTCTTTTTTTTTTTATTAGAGGGAGATATTGTACAAAAGTCGATTGTTTAGGTACCTCTGTCCTATTCGTGTTTCAACCGTGAAGTAGTTGTGTCTGCATGGGTGTGTTTCGATTTGAAGGATGGGATATGGCGTGAATTTAATGGGTACAGAGGAATAACATCTGAGTCCTCAGGAATGACAACGCATCGGGGGTATCACGGGCGAAACAGTATACTCTGTTATGTCCATGGTACTGCTCATGTCTATAGGCGACGGTTACCACTTTCCATCAGGTGGACCGTCAGCTTGTTTGCCATTCTAAGTTGTATAAAAAAATATGTTTCTATCTACCCATGCGAAGCCGGGGTAGGTCGCTAGTCATTTATATTCTAATGAACATTGTGTATGAATGTTTTGTCTATGTTATTGGTGCAAATGAAATTGGATCGCATGAATGTAGCTATTATTTTCGCTATATCACGTTGGCTTCATTTGTGTTTGCATAATAATGCAGCCAGAAACAAAGGGACTCATACACATAATAGTAAATTAACTATTTATAACGACACACATTTCTATTAACTATTCATTGTTCATTTATTTATTTTTGTTTAAATAACTTTTTCACCGATTACGTATTTTTTACGCGCTTTCTGATAACGTTAAGAGACTACCGACTAAACCGTGTTTCAAAAAAAAAACGTTCATGCTCACTTTTTTTTATTTTAAATACAGTATATGTGTAAGTATATTTGCTATTTATATATATTTATTCGTACGTATATATTGTACGGATATCAATAATTACTAGTACCGCATTCGAGTATTCTGACACTTCCCTATGGTTGACTGCGAGAAAATGCTTTTAGCATTAAGTCCGCCATGTACACACATATATATATACTAATGAATAAATAAATAAATTAAGAAATACTTAATTACCTAGACAAAGTTTTGTTAAACATAGATAAAGAGTGTTTTAATTTTCTTTAATATTATAGTTAATTGATATACAGTTTAGGCTTTCTTACGATTATATGCAAAGAAGATGATAAACAGTTCCCATCAGACGACCTATCGGAGCTGTCGGAATTCTAAAATACGTCAAGAAACTTAAAAAGACTTCAAATTAAATAAAACATTTCCGAACGAGTCCATATCTAAAAGGATATCAAACGCCCAAGTGACCAGTTCTGTGCAATCGTGATAAAATGAACTATTGAACTTTAGTTATTCACTCTTTTGTTCGCGTCAGCACAATGAAATCGAATCGAGCCGTGAACGTTAATCGAGAAAAGTTTTTGCCCTATCATGCTGGCGTTCCGTTCAGCGGCGGTCTCAATGGGTGGCTCATCTTTCATCGACGAACTATATCTATGTACTGTGGAATGCAGCGCTGCGCTATCTCTTGTTTTGAACACGTTGTACGGAGGTTACGTCAGGTATTTACTTGGTATTTTAGTGTCGTGAATGATTTAACTGAGTTCAGTTAGTTGCCTAGTTAGGTGTTGTATTGCGGAAGTCTATATCACTGGTTATTTGATTAGAATTATTTTGTTTAATTCCGCTAGCATTAGTATGTGTGGGACTGCCAACACAATATTGACGAAGTGTCGATTAAGGAAGCATTACTTATCATTATGCTGTTGTATTATGTATATATACATACATACATACATACACACACACACACACACACACACACACACATACACACACGTGTGTATGTGTGTGTGTGTGTGTATTTTTTATGTACTCCAATATTTATATGTTTACAAGGCTTATGTATTTTGTGTAAATAATATGTAGTTTGTATTATTCTTTGTAGGTATATACATATCTTACAAATATGTTTATGCAAATTTAATTCACATGAAAAGGTTTTTTGGAAGAAATCTCTTAATGTTAATAATAATGTTTTATTGATATTGTATTAATATTGACTGCCACTATCACTACATCTCTGAGCGTTGACGGTCACACACATATTAATAGTAGCGGAATTAAACAAAATAATTCTAATCAAATAAACAATAACGTATTGTTCATAATAATTTGCAATTCATAGTATTCTGATTTTGAAAATGGAATGGTAATGCCGCCTGCACTTTTGGTTTATACTAGCGATGTACAAATGAAGAATAACAGGTCAGTATCAAGTTAAAATGCCTTTCATGAATATGCAAAAAGATGTATTGACTGAATAAAATACGACAGTGAAGTGAAATAAAATTATTTAACCCTTTAGTACTGCAATCCATTATGTAAATGCCACAGTATGTGTGGAATAAATGATTTGTTACCTTGTTAAGTCGATACTGTCCACATTTTATTTACCTGAAATAGAAAAGAAAAAATCTTTAGAACATAGCAATGTAATTAGATTTAAAATTTACTATTAATAAATAAATTCTTCATAGGGAACAAAATTTCAAGTTTTTTAAATCATAACCCCATCAGTTATATTGATTTGGATTTTTTTTATCTGAAAGGATACACTCACAGATTAGGTTCATAGAAATTTTATAAAAATCAGTTCAGTGGCTAAGTTTTTAGATAAGAATAATTGGTTTTGAACACAATTGAAGTCAATTTTTTTATGGCATAAAATCTTTAAATATACAAGTGTTATATTGGAAAAAAAATCAGCCATATCATATTCTGTCACAGTGCAAACATTGAAACTTAATATAATACAGAGAGGAAAATAAAAAGAAAAACCTTACATATACACATTTGCAATAATATTTGATCAATTTTTGTATACTTTTTAGTTACTTAGTTAATTAAATAATAGACTAAATTTATTAATAAAAAATATATATGTTTCCTGATGTCATTAAAAGACTAAACTAAACTAAAGAAAGACTAAACCGTCTTTCAAAAAACACATTCACGCTCACTTTTTTATTTTATCCGAGCAGTAAGTACTTTACATTATTCTCAATTTCGTGTATAGTATAGTATATGTCATATATGTGTAAGTATATTTGTTATTTATATATATTTATTCGTTTATATATGTAATTTTAGTATGTATGTATATCAGTAATTACTAGTACCGCATTCGAGTATTCTGACACTTTCCTATGGTTGACTGGGAGAGAATGTTTTTAGCATTAAGTCCGCCATGTACACATATTTGTACTAATGAATAAATAAATAATAAATATATATAATTAATTATAAAATTCATACATATTCTTTGCACACTGTTCTCTATCATCAATAATCCTTCCTCTCCCATTTATTTGAAAGATAGATTTCAGTTCTTCAAAGACTCCCGTATCCGTAATCTTCGATCATCTCAAAATCTCCTCCTCGTAACCCCGTCACACCATTCTGGATTTATGTGCAATTCTTTTACTGTCGCCGCTATCAGCTTTTGGAATAAAATCCCTGCAGATCTACGCAAAGTATCCAGTAGGGATATTTTTAAAAGAAGACTTTTTAATTATTTGTTGCGTCAACAAAACCAGCTCTAATTACAAGTTACTCAACAATTACTATATCTCATTCATATACATATATAAATACACATACACATATAAATACACATACACATACATATACACATATACGCACATGTACATATGTTGAAATTTTTTTCTAATTAAATATTCTTGTTTATAAATAAATATTTAGCACATGATGTAGAGAGCTACATAAAATGATATCCATTGTTACAGCGGAGTCAATGGGTATTTCGAATTAATGGGCATGATAAAACATGCAATTAAACCAGTAATTCACAAAACGAGTGCGGTTAACGACGCCATAGATTGAGTAATATACCCACATTGTGGCAAGAGACGCATGGTTTTTGTTATGGATGAGCTAAACTAGGTTAAGGGTTAATAAGGCTTTTGTCCCATTTCGAACGTAGAGCGGTGCAGTAACGGTTAAAGATGTATCAAGTGAAATTATATAAAAATGTACATTAAAAATAGCAGGATTTGTAACGCTAAAGACGGCGATTTACGTTTAAAACAACATTACTGTGAAAAAATATAAAAACAGTTTATCAAAATACCTTAATTAATAATAACTGTTTCAAAAAGTGCATTTTAGACTTTGAGAGTTAAAGAGAGACCTAGTTAGCCCTCAATCTTAAAAATGTACATTGTTTTATCATTATATAAAAACTTTATATATTCCTAGGTAGAACATCAATGTCAAAAAGTCATAAAGACCGTCAACCAACTGTACTGACCTAGCATTTTGTTAGTACGTGAAAATCTAAAAGTATATTGTTTTAGATACAGAAATATAAATAAAAATCACTAATCAATAAGATTGTTACAATTTTATATTTAAAAATATTTGGTGTGTCTATTAAAAACATATATACAATATATTATTTACATAGACACTTTATTTAGATGCTATTGGTCTTCTAAGATAAATACATTGTTGCTAGGTGTTATATTTCGGAATATCAGTTGTCAAATTAGAGAAACTGGAAATAACTGGAACTAACGGCCAGTAAAACTAACGTAAATGCGCAATATATGTAAAATTTGGTTTCTAGTAGAAATAGGCATAATATTTATAGATTATTGAGACTAAACGAGATGCGGTTGAAGATAAATAGTACTATAATATTCAAACTAGCACAAAGCTAAAATCTAGCTTTGTGCCCGCCGCCTCGTATTCGTAAATTTTAAAATAAGGGAAATCAATCAAATTGAACACTTTTAGACGATCTATCAAGATAAAACATACACTAAACTTTAAGTTAGACCTTCGTGACCAGAAATATTTAAACCGCTTCTAATTTGACGCAGTAGCTTTTGCATGATGCCGGAACAGACAGAGAAAATTTCTAAAATATATTATTTTAACTTCTATTGCTCTTATTAAGATGACTTATATTTTTTTTCTATTTTTAATATAAATATAACGTCTAGTAATTTTATAATATTACTAAGATAAGACATAATGCTGTATAGAGTTGGATCGCTACCCGTGAATGGTAAGACACAAACCATACAAATATCTACTGTGAGCGTGGATTGAGTATGGTGGAACAAACATTGTATTGTTCCTAAACGAATAAATTTTAATTAAATGTCTGTGATGTTTTAAGTAATTAATTAAAAGTATAAATAATTATGGAGTAACAAGCTTCGTTTACTTTCTATTATACCTACGTCTAAATGCCTCTTGTTTTATAAAGAAAATAACGTAGATGTTAATATTCTTTTTCTATCTTTTATTATCTATTTTAGTCTAAAAATACCTTATTTATATAAGCAGTTTAATTATGAAATGTTGTAACAATATTTTCGTGTTTCAAAACATGTTTCTTTTAGGAATTTTTTCAGCGTTATGAATAACATCTACCTACCTATTGTTCTATTAGTTTATTTCAGTATGAATTTTATTATAAATTTTAATTTTTTTTTATGGATGATAATGGAATGACAACCCCGTCTCCGCTATCGATATACACTGGCGAGGTACCAGTGAAAAATGGTAGGTAGGGACGAAAGCAGGTCAATTAGCCCATCGTGACGAATTCCACATGAATTAACTACGATGGTTTCCAGGAGAAACTGCGTGGAAGTCGACCTGATAGGGTATTGTTAGTAATGGAGCTATTAGATCCTTATTACTAATAATCCCTTCTCCCCCCGTTATTGTTACTCAGTTAAGGCATAAGGACAAACATAAGCAAGGATAAGTAAGTTGAAGTGGCAACTGGCTTGTCACATAATTAAAAGAACCGACAATCGATGGGGGAAAAAGGTTCTTGATTGGAGACCCCGTACGAGCAAACGCAGGATAGGACGACCCACCACTTCGTCGACTACACGACAATTTTAAATGCATTGCAGATGTCAGTGCATGCTGGTAGTTCAGAATCGTTCCATATATTAAATCTGTAGGATATTTTATTTATCAATTACCATAAATTAAAGCCTTTTCTTGTAGTGTGGTCCACCTTCAATTATCTAGTTCAATTTTAACTAAAGTTTACGTTGTAAAGCTATATATGTACATGTATACATGTACATATATACATATTTAAGAGGGAAAATTGATACCAACAATATCTTATATACGTACAAGGGTAAACCCTGTCAAAGACGATACACCCCACGTCACTCGACGCCAAATAGCGTAAATACTTCTATACAATTTTGTTGGAAATGCCGACATGCTGAGACGTTTTGAATGAATATTTGTGTCTGCATTCCGTTTTCGGGTCTTGATTTGTATGTGATGGGTGCGTATTTATTTGTACTCTGCAAGTTATACAAAATAGGCTGTTCCTCGAAAGGCCACCAGTTCAATTGGCAATTCTGTCAAAGAAATGAAAGGAATAACGTAGTAAAATATTAGGTGAGAAAATTTTCTAACACTCTCGAACGTCTTTTAACTTAATGTAGGCGCCATCTAGCGTCGTATTAAAGTATTACAGTACAGATGTAATATCAGAACATAAGATAACATAGCTTGTTTTGTAACATTAGAACTTTTTTCAAAGTCACGCATAAAATAAAATTGGCAATACATTTTGAATTAAAAAAAAATATATTTAGACTCAAAACAGCGCTAGGTCATAGATTGCCAGCAATATCTTTTGCTGGCCTTGGTCGACTTGATATTTTTTTATATTTTTTTCTATAATCATACACAGTCTACATGACGTTCTTTGTTTTTATTGTTCTCTAATTACAATACAACAGTGTTTCAACCGTGAAGCAGTTGTGTTTGCATGGCTGTGTTTCGGTTTGAAGGGTGGGTTATGGCGTGAATTTACTGGGTACAGAGAAATAATACCTGAGTCCTCAGGAATGGCAACGCATGGGGGGTATCATGGGCGAAACAATATACTCTGTTATATCCATGGTACTGTTCATGTCTATAGGCGACGGCTACCACTTTCCATCAAGTGGGCCGTCAGCTTGTTTGCCATTCTAAGTTGTATAAATAAAAAAAAAGTATTACAGTTTTATCTACGACAGAACACTCTAATAATTAAAATTTTAAATGGATTTATTATAAATTAATCGGTTTATATTTGTGGGTAGTCTGTTTGTTATAAATAAGGTAGTTACGTTATAATATTCAAGCTATACATTGCACATAAGCACTTACATATTAAAAACAAAATCATTATTATTCTTAGGGTCTACCATGAAATTCCAAATTTTAAGACAAAATTTTGTATTTTCCTTCATAACAAAGTCGGTCCATTAAATGGAGTTTAACGTTATGTTCGTTATAAATTTTACCCTAAAGGGGGAAAAGCATTGTTAGTATTAGGGATTAGCAACCCTATTACTAGCAATCAGGTGTCAGGTCGACCTCCTCACGGTTCTGCCTGG